CCGAGAGCTGATCCATGATCTGCTGGCCACCGCCGCCCTTCACAAGTGGAACATTTCTGCGGTGACCACCTGGTTGTGGAGCAGCTCTGGGGAAGAGTGGTTCTGTTACATTCCTACTTTTGGTCACTCCCAATGGGTTATAGGTCAGTGTGCTCGACTTTTGCGTTGGGCTCTGAGGAGGCGTTCTCTGTGGCGGGTTTCTCAGCTGGCTCCCCTTTGAATGGGCTGTCTTTGGCGGGTGAGAAGCGAAACTCCTCCGGCACCTCGTCCTCGAGTTGAGCCTTCTTGTAGAAACCCAGTTTCCCCAGCATCTCGTTAATCTCAGAGCGGGTCATGTCGGAGAGAGCGATCCGCTGTGGAGGAAATCTGGTTAAAGGATAATTCCACTGTAAACTTTTCTGTCACTGTTAGTGCTGCATGACAATATAAAGTACATTCAACACATTAGATGTCAGTGCATCATGTGACTGAATTCTTAAATAAGGAGTTTAAAATTAGATGGTATATTAAACATTAGATAAAAAGTTAAGTTAAATATTATTACATGAAAGGTGTGATTTGTTGTTGATGATCTCACAATAAATGACCACCTGATGCTACAGTTCCTCTCAGCTCTACAGAGCGCTTTAGAGTCTCGCAGCTTCCTGTTTTGGTTTCCGGCCTACATTATTTGAATGTTTTGGTTCTCTCATCGACTTTATTTCAAGCAACACTTCTAGTGAACTACAATATTAGACTTTCTAGGTGAGCAGGCAACTTTTTTTGAGGAAGTTTGAGGGGAGGCCACAGTCTGAATTTGAAAACCTGTGCTGTAGAGAAAAACTACAGAGCCAGATATTTCCTTCAGGAACTGGTTATGACCAAACCAGAGCTGTACAATACAATATTATGCCTCCAAATGTAAACTCTCATTGCTCCATGTCTGCTGGACACATGCAGGCATTTTAACCTTTAATAGAGGTGATGGCACATGTGGATAATTTTCTGCCTCCAGGTCAAGTGGATTGATGTAGCTTTAAATTACTAAATTCCTTTATTTCAATATTCTGATACAATAGTCTTACCTTATTTCATTTGTGGAAAATGATAAAGTTTCAGCCAAACCTAACCCCCCAAAAAAGATGATTTCCCAAACACCATAGTTATATTTTAATTTTAACACAGGGGCTTTCTTCTATTGAAAACAAACACTGAATATAACAAAATGAAAGCAAGACTTACATCCAGCTCTTCGAAGTAGTGATTCAGGAGGACCAGCTCAGGGTCGGCCCCAGGAATGTGCTTCATCACCAGGTTATGGCTGAGAGGGTCATAGTCAAAGATCGTCCCAAAGAGAAAATGCTGGATTTCTTTTGAACCATTTGATAAACAAATATTTAAGAAGGAGTAACAGCGATGAATGGAAGGATACTAAAGAGGAATATCCTGGGTCACAAAGGCCTTGACCTGCAGACAGAGGTGGGGATTAATGTTTTTTTTTCACTCAGGGCTGGTTTCAGTGACAGACCTATCGGGGATTATGTGGAACACTAGATGTAAAATGTAAAAATGTCCAACACTTAGACGGAGATTAAGCTTCAGAGTGCATCCAACACTGGCTGTTTTCTGTTTGTTCCTGTAACTTACCTCCCTGAGCCGGTTCAGCTGTCATCCACCACATGTCTGCAGAGAGATAAGATCATGAGTCATGAGTCATATTTTAGAAAAGAAGGCATCACCTGAAGTAAGAAAATGATTATTTAACTGATGTGGCAACATGTTGTGGCTTCTGAGATCTATCCTTCAGCATATTTTCCTTCATGCACACCTTTTGCACCGTGCACAGGATAAAGCAGGCCTCTCTGGGAAGGATGCCTAACTCATTCATGCAGGAATTTGAGCCTTAGGTGTAAAGTAGCAGGTTTAACTAGCACAAAAATAGCAGCAGATAGCATGTCTTTCTCCTTTCAGTGATGATCGCTACCCTGAGGGACAACTGCATGGTTCCTCACAAAAAAGCAGGTGTCGAGTTTCAGAAACTTTTGTGCAACCTCCTAAAACCCACCCTGAGCAAATTTTACACCAAACCAATTTATAGTCATTTTTAAAAAATAATCACAATAATACATTTGAATTTGTGTTGTGTGGCTTAAACAGGTGGAGAAGCACTCAGGTTACTCCAGCTCCATCCACTTCCACATTAGAGGCACTGACGCATGCGCCAAACAAAGACATCCGAGGGGGAAAAACACGTATCCATTCACACTTTTACGCACGTTCGATTCAGGAACCGGTCACAAATAAACCTGTGCCCGGCTTCACAGTGGCTGTGTCCCAGCCTGCCTCCATGTATACCGGGTAATATGAAGGAGGATGAACGTACCTCCACCCTCGCTTTAGCCAGCCCGTCCAGTTTCTTCACATCCACGTCATAGGCCGAGGCGCACTGGAGGAGAGTGGCCAACACGAGCAGCCACGTCATCTCGGACCTGGTTCAGATCCTGGACCAGGTCTCTTCAGTCTTTCTTCAGGACCCAGGACCTGTGGATGTTTGACGGAGAATGAGCCCAGGAGCAGCAGGGGGAAGAGCAGGAGGTGGAGGGGGAGAGCTGATGCACTCTTATGTCACATCCGGATCTCTCGCCACGTCAAACACTTCTTTCAGTGCAGAGAGAGAGAGAGAGAGAGGGGGGGAGCTCATTGGTTAGCCCAGAGATTCCCATAGAGATAGTTTATCCTATAGATTTTAGTTGTGTTATCATTTGAATAAGAATAATAAGAAATAAGAATAATTGATATGGTCTGCGAACCTCTTGTTATATAATGCAGGTAATGTGGGACATTTTGAATTCTGCGACTTATTCCGATCTCTGTTTTACACATTGGATCAACATATTGATGTTTCTTATCACACCAGGGGAAAGAATGGAGGAATCATACTCAGAGGAGACATGACACAGCTTTCAGTGTCCTTTGTGCCAATAAAGAAAGTTTGATGATCTGGGTCAGGTCACTTTGTAATCTGGGACACTTTTAAAAAGACCTAAATCACATCATGCTTTATGTATGTTAATGTTCAATATTGCCATTAAACAAAAATGACAGAAAGCTGAATAAGAAAAAGTATTATTCAAAGAATGTCATTCATTCATACTGACATATACAAGTCCTATTTTTTTCATAAAGAACTCGAGCCTTAATAAAGAAATTATAATCTTCACTTCTATTTTTTTTTTTTAAATCTATAAAAATTCAATTAACTACTTCTTACCAGTAATTGGGTAAAAACAGCATCTTTAGAAGTTGTGGTTATGCATCTGTTTACTATTTGCTTTCTATATATTATATACATTAACCTTATTACAAACTAGATACTTTAGATATGCACGCGAGGGAACAGTGTGCAGGTATAGTTTCATCCCGTACTTCATATTGTTCCTTTATTCCAGTGTGCATCTCTTGCGTGTTATCATCAATGCAATTATTTAATGCATCTAGTTGATGTTTTATGTTGACCCAGTTGTTGCCTGTATGTTCCTTTGGGGTGGAGAGCAGAGATCCTTTGAATCAGAATTTGCAGTTTTCTTGTATTTAACTGATCAATATAACTAATTTATGATCTAAGCTCCAGTAGCAGCTGGTGCTCCCTTTCTTTAACAAGAGCAAATCTGTCAGCTACAGGGTGTGTGTGTGTGTGTGTTTGCACTGTGCAGTAAACATTCACAACATCCTGCAGAATTTCAATTACTTCTGTGTATGAAAAGTAGCTTCAGGAAACCTTCTTTTTCATGTACTGTAATACACAGCTAAAGGAACATACACACACACACACACACAAACACATACAAAAACACACACTGGGATACAGTTTTGTCTCGTTAATTGTATAAAGGCCTTAGGCATTAAAGAGGTCATGGAGAGTGATGAAGTGCCCTTAGGTGTTGGCTCAGTGTAGAGGTGCTTTAGCTTCTGGACAGAAGTGGTGTTAAACAACAACAAAGGTTTTAAGTTGTTTTGTCTTTCTTTTGATATTAGTTTGTCTCTATATGGTCATATTTGTGTCACTTTATTATTCGTGTCTCCTTTGGATCATTTGGCTTCTCCCTGTGGTCTGACCTTTAACTGAGCTCTATAATTTTCAAACAAGAATCATTAACAGTCACTTCATACAAAGGCCCAGGAAGCTGGGAGCATTTCTGCCAGTAGTTAACCCACTTGGTCATTCATTAATTGAATGGTTGACCAAATCTCATTTGTGTAAAACATTACGTAAATGTTATTAAAAAGGGTTATTTAATAGATGCAGGTGCTTCTACTTATTTATTTTTATTTGGCAGGGTTTGTTTATAACCGATTACATGTTCTTTGGATTACATAATCGGATTTAAATAAATATACAATCAACCCAGATTATATCTTCCTGTAATCTGCATTAGCCAGCATACAATACAACAGTAAACCAAAAGTATTCAGATGCGATTATATTTTTGTAATCCAGTTGAGTACGTTACTAATTACAAATAAATTGCCACGTGATTTATAACCTTAAGGTTGACCAATACATGTCTAACCAAAACCTTAACCTAACCACAATCCATATCTTACCCCTAACCTTGACCTTTGGCCTCATTAGGGCCAGGCTTTCGTCCCCATGAGGTCAACTGAAAAAGGCAACAAAAACAACTACAAACACACACACACACACACACACACACACACATACTTACATACATACATACATACATACATACAGATAATATTTAAAGTAATATTTGTAATTAGAAGGTGAGGCCATTTAACGCTGGCTGCTGTTCTCTAATTAAACCACGTACTTCCCCATACTAACCACTAGGCGGCAATAGTGTTTCATCATAGCTTTAAACTACATAGAACAGTTGTTCACGGCGAAATCTACAGTTTAATTCAGTGTCAGCTTGATAAAGACAAATACTTCGATAACCGTGAAAACACGTGTGGAGTGTGGAGCTTTGATCTTTGCTTTGATCGTAGTGAACGGCCGCCATGTTTGTGTGTGATGATGTGCGGTGTCTATGTGTTTCAGCTCTCACCGCTGAGTGTAATCAGCAGCACAGGCTCTCACTCTCAGTCCTCGCTGCTCGTTTTACGGAAGCGTTGTGGACGCGGCGTTAAATCTGAAGGACACGGTGCAGCCCGTGTCTTTGAACGCATCTGGAGACGTTTGGTGTTTCAGTGAGATGTAAACGTCTGCCTGGTTCATCTGTCTGCTGCTTCTCTCCTGAACCAACCTGCCCCGGATCTCTGTCACACATCCCCCCGCTGAGGAAGGAAAGGAGCAAGGAAGTAAGGGAGGGAGAGAGGGAGGAAGGCGCTGGGATGCCGATGGTTTCAACTGGGAGGCGACTGGAGTGGAAAGTTGTGTGTTTTTAGTTAATGGTTCAGTCCCATCGTGCACCGAGGCTCCGCACTGACCGAGCTCCACCAAGATCCACCTGCTGTTCACGTCCTCAGCACTGACCAACTAAACCAGGTAAAGGTGATCACTCATCTGCTGCACGCATGCGTTATTCTTAGCATTTCTCAGTGTGTGTGTATCAGGACTGCTTGTGTCAATCACCGTTACAGCTTCAACACAACACCCACCGAAAAGGTCCATAATGTTGTCGTTTACTGTTGCTGCAACAGCTGTAAACATCCCTGACACACGATCCTCGTGCTGTGCATGTGTTTACAAGAGCAGAGATGTCAATAGTGTGTTACAGAAATTATTTGTAACATAAAACAGTCATGATTAAGAATAAACGCTTCTCACCTTTTTTTCTTTGCCAGAATCTATGCTGATGATTCATAATCACGGAGTCACACATTAGAAATGTAGACACACACACACACAGACACACACACACA